CCAAGAAGCTTCCCAGAGGGCCCCAGGACAGCCCAAGAGGGCCCCAAGACGGCCCAAGAGGCGCCCAAGATGGCCCAAGAGGGCCCCAAGACGGGCCCAAGAGGGGGCCCAGAGGGGGACCACGAACCGCAAGCTCGAGCCTTCCGCCCCAAGAGGCCGCCAGGAGGCCCCCAGGAGGCCCCTCAAGAGGCCCCAGGAGACCCCAGACGTCCAAGGACGCCCCCAAGAGGCCCCAAGAAGCCTCCAACATGCGTCCCAAGAGGGCCCCTAGACGCAAAAATTGGCCCATTCCCTTCGTAAAACGTACATTTTCAACAAAGTTGTCTTTTGGGCTTTCCGACGTTACAGGACGGCCCAAGAGGCGCCCAAGACCGCCCCAAGACGGCCCAAGAAGCTTCCAAGAGGGCCCCAGGACAGCCCAAGAGGGCCCCAAGACGGCCCAAGAGGCGCCCAAGATGGCCCAAGAGGGCCCCAAGACGGGCCCAAGAGGGGGCCCAGAGGGGGACCACGAACCGCAAGCTCGAGCCTTCCGCCCCAAGAGGCCGCCAGGAGGCCCCCCCTCAAGAGGCCCCAGGAGACCCCAGACGTCCAAGGGCGCCCCCAAGACGCTTCGCGTCACCAATTTCTTCTCGCAACGATTCCTGGGTCTGTGACTCGACAGAACCTAAGCGCGCGCGAAGCGCGCGCGTGGTTCTAGTATTTATATATACATATATTATACACATGTACATTTATGTATGTATAAAGATACACACGGGGAGTTCGCTCTTGAACCCCCTGCGGCACCCACGGCATTCGATCGATTGTTCCATACGTTGCAAAGGATTATCTCACAGTGCTGTGTTTTGATAACATGTGCGTGCGCAGAGTACCAGCTTCGAAATTGTGAAATATAGGTCCCCTTTTGTATAATGGGAACTACCAATGTCTGGCGCGGGCTCATTGACGGATTGGGGCCGACAACAAGACTGGGAAAGTAATTCGCCGCCCGGGGCCGTCAATCTGTTGGGTATCTCGTGGGTCCTTGAGGAACCTGGGAATCCCTACGGATTCCTATGGATTCGTAGGATTCCGAAGGATTCACACAGATTCTTAAGCATTCTTCAAAGTCCATTCAGGTCCCGATGGATTCGCCGGATTCCTCAGAATAGGGTTCCTGGAGTCCTAAGGATTCCCGTCGGATTCCGAAGGGTTTTGTGGATCCCTTCAGGATCCGTAGGGACTCCCAGGGAGTAGTAAGAGTCCTCAAGCTTCCGACTGGTCCCCGAGAATTTTCGGGATCCTGTGAGGAGTCGTCAGGATGTGTCCGGATTCGCAGGATTCTTCAGGCTGGATTCCTAGGGAGCCATTGGGATCCTAGGGTCTCCCAGGGTTCTAGTGGGTCTCAAGGACAGTTGGAATCAACGCCATGTGGGTTTGCACGACCATCCGTGTATGAATATGCTCGGAATCCATCTCGTGTGCAGGGTCGCCCACGGCAGTTTATCCGTTGGGAGCAACAACCATCCAACAAGATCCCGCGTTGCGAACAATAGTGCGTACATTAGCACGCGCGCAGCAGCAACTAAACAAGCTCACCACAATTGAGGCAGGCTCTTACTGCGCACGGTTACCTGAGCGATCCGTTTGTGGAGACGGCGACGATCAAGACAACGACAACGACAAAGGCGACGTGCATACTCGAGTGGAGATGTATCGAATTATGTGCTAATCCTGGTGCAAACAAGCTCACAATTCCTCTGTCGCGCAGGGTCGCCCAGCAAGCATAATCCGATGGAAGAAAGAGCCACCTGTCAATACCTAGTACGGAAAACAATTCTGCGCAAATAGTTGCACGCGCGGCAACCACCGAACAAGTTCAGCACAAGTATGGCAAGATCTCATTTCGCACGCCACTTGCGCGAACCCACTATGAAGACGGCGGCGGCGACGATCGCGAAGTCGACGACCAAGACGATGCCGATTCGATTGGAGATGAAGCGAAGCATAATTCAAGCCTTTTTTACACGGGGGAGCGAACATCCTCTCCCGCGCAGGATCGCCCAGGAAGCATTATCCGTCGGGGAGAAGAACCACCCAACAACAAATGGCAGGCGAGCAATAGTGAGCAAACAACCGTTGGCGCCAGCAGACGCGTACAGACGAAAGGAAGATGCAGTACATGTTAGCAGGGAGCGTAAGCATGGAGTAGATGCTGTAGATGTTAGCGGGACACGTGTGCATTTAGACATACATCTATATATATATATATATATGTATATATATATATATATATGCTCAGCCCCCCCCCCAGCACACCCCCCCAGGGCCCGTCATCCTCATCATCATCCCCATCGCATTTCTCCTCATCCGCATCTGCATGATTATGAGGATCAGGATGCGGAGGAGGAGGATGATGCTGATGATGAGGATGATGATGATGATGAGGAGTAGGGGGAGGAGGAGGAGGGCGGGGATGATGATAAGGCGGAGGGGGCGGATAATGCGGAGGATGCGGATGATGATGAGGATGAGGATGATGATGATGAGGAGGGGGAGGAGGAGGGGGATGATGATGATGATGATGATGACGATGACGATGACGATGACGATGACGATGATGATGCTGCTGATGATGATGATGGTGGTGGTGATGCTGATGATGATGATGATGATGCGGAGAATGGCAATAATAATGCTGACGATGATGATGATGATGATGAGCATCATGAGACCATCAGCGCCTGCGAAGCCGCGCGTGATGATTGGCCTCGGTGCCGTAGCTGAGACCAGCTGGGGATGGCGCGTAGTAGGCTTTCCTGTTAAGTCTGGCTTAAAGTGACTCCACGCTAGCGGGCGATTAACATGCCCGGCCTTGTTTTGATTCGAGCCAGATCAGCCTTCACAGCCGCGTATGAAAATCAGTTAATGGGCAATGCGGCTACCGCCCTCGTCGTCGTCCTCGCCATCGCCCTCGTCGTCGTCGCAACAGAAATCTTCGTCGATCGCCATCGTGGCCGACTGCCGCCACGATGGTTGGCTGATCACTTTGACTTCACGCGCTTCCTTCCCTAGATGAGGAGGGGCACTTGCAAGGGGGGCCAGCGCGGCGACATGACAATGATAATAACAAGGGGGCGGGGGCCGAGGGTGATGGGGACGATCAGCAGATGTATAAAGAGGTGGTGTGGGAGGGGGAGGAGGAGGAGGAGGAGGAGGAGAAGGAGGAGGAGGAGGAGAGCAGGAGGAGGATGCGGGAGGAGGAGAGGGGGGAGGAGGAGGAGGGAGGAAGGAGTTTGAGGAGGAGGAGCAGGAGAGAGCGGAGGATGGGGGGAGGAGGAGGAGGATAAGGAAGAGGAAACGGGGGGGGAGGGTGCAGGAGGAGGGGGCCGAGGAGGAGCATGCGCAGCCAAACCATGCTATTCACATGTTGTGTTTTGGTTTGTTTGGTCAGGGAATCCACGAAACCTCGCCATTCACATGTGTGTTTGGTTTTTTCTGGTTTTCAGAAGCCCCACAAGCTTGACCAGAGGGGGGGCGCGGGGGGGGGTGGAGCTTCTGAAAACGAAAACAACAAAAAAAACCTGTGAATAGCATGGTTGCGTGGCTTCCCTGACCAAAAAAAAAACAAAAAAATGTGAATATCATGGTTTGGTGGCCACGCCCCATTCCGCAAGCCTTCCTGGCGAAGGTATAGGAAGGGGAGGAGGAGAAGGCGAGGAGGGGAAGGACGAGGAGAGGGAGGACGAGTGGGAGGGCGAGGAGGGAAGCACGATGAGGAGGGCGAGGAGGGAGAGCGAGGAGTAGGACGAAGCAGGGAAGGACAAGGAGAGGGAGGACGAGGGGGACGGCGAGGAGGGGAACACGAGGAGGAGGGCGAGGACGAAGGCGAGGAGGAGAGCGAGGGGAGGAAGGACGAGGAGAGGGAGGACGAGTTGTATTGCCCGCCGAGAGCTTAGAAGGGAGGAGGGCCATCATTAAAGACCTGCGGTTACTTGACAAAGATGAGGGTGGCGATATTGGTTTGGCTGGGATGATACGAACTCACGTGTAGAATTAACACTGGGGCAGAATAGTGCATAAATCGCACATCCCCACGGGGCGGATACCCCTATGGGGGGATCCCAATTCTCTTCAGGAGCGGTAATATATGTGGTGCGTCCTATGTGGTGCAAAGCCAAGAAGCAAAGCAATGCGAAGCAATGCAAAGCTGGCGGCGACGAGGTGGCGACGGCGGCCACATGGCGGCCAGAGCGGCCCGCAGGCACAGACGACGGGCGGCGACGAGGCGGCGACGGGGCGGCGACGGCGACCACGTATCCGCCAGACCGGCCGTAAGGCCCAGACGACGGGCGGCGACGAGGCGGCGACGGGGCGGCGACGGTGACTGCGTAGCCGCCACAACGGCTACCAGGCCGAGTTCCCTAGAAAGCAAAGAAGAACCCCTAAGTGCATGCATCCGTTGGGGAATACAGATGCGTTATATTAAAAAGTATGTATAACATGTGTTTCCGATATGTGTCTGCATATATATATAGCCCGTACATACATACATATACATTTACATATACATACACCTATACATATATGTATACATATACATGTATATGCATATGTACATGCACATAGACATTTACATATACATATACATATACATACATTTATATATACATATACAAAAACATACACATACATACATACATGCAGACTGGCATCAATACAGACATACATACAGACATGCATGCATAAATACATGCATGCATGCATGCATGCATGCATACATACATACATACATACATAGTATATATATACTATTGCGTTGCCACTATGTCACTATGTTCCGCCACAGCGCTCGGGCGGCCGCCTGGGGGGTGGCCTACTCTGGGGCCTCCCCAGAAACTCACGGCTTCTGAGAGACCCTTGCTTCTCGGGCCATTTGGCTTCCAAAACGGCCCAGGAGGCCCACAAGAAGGTGCCACGGCGGGCCCTGAAACCGGATCATGCCATGCCGGAAGTGCAGACCCCAAGCCACCCCCGAGGCCTCTCGAAGAGGCACGCGAGGATTTCCGAGAGCGCCCAAGAGCAGCCGGGAGCGCCGTCCATAGCCGTTTTGGCTCAAGCCATTCTTGCCCAGAGGAGGTCTCCAGGTTGGACCCATGTGCCCTGCCGGCCAGCACCCCACCGGCATGCTCGGCGCGATGCTTCCAGAGTTTGCGGCGGCCTTCTCCGAGCACGGGAAGGGAACTGCGGTGCGCCCCGAGCCAGACGGGTTCAGCTCGGCCCCCACCCGATGTCCGACGCCAGAGCTGCTCGCCTCCGGCGACGGCCACGACGCCAGCGCGCACGCGGAGAGCCCCGGCGCCGCCGCGCTGCCGAGGCACGGGGCCGAGGCGGCGCTCCTCGGAGGCCCGCGCCGCCGGAGGGGGTCTGCGGCGCCAGCGCCCAGGGAGGCTTCCCTCCGGCGCCTCCGGTCCGAGGCGTACTGGGAGCAGATCGCGACCGCCGCGCGGCCGCCCGCGCGCTCGCCCTGGGACCTGGGCGTGAGGCAGCGCCGCACGGGCCACGACGAAGGGGGTCATCCTCGGGCGGGCGGCGGTCACGCGGCGCGGGCGGCAGATGGCGCCGCAGGCGGAGGAGGCCCCGCTGGCAACCCCGGAAGCTGGGCGGGCGCCGTCTCCCGGGAGCTGCGCCGCGCCGCGCGCGGGCCCAGTGCGGTGCCGGCCATCCCGCCGGCCCCGCCGCCAGCGCCGCCATCGGCAGCAAGCGGGGCCGCGCTGAGGTCGCGGGGCCGGTCTTACCACCTGGCTGGCAGCCGCTATCAGCACGAGGGAAACGGATCCTGGAAGAAAGGCGTATCGGGACCAGTCCCTAGGACCGGCGCCTCAGCACCTGGCATCGACATGTAGACTCAAAGCGTGTGCTAGGGCGAGATGCGAATTATGAGCCGTCGCGCACGCAGTCCGCAGAGGAGCTAGCAAGGAGCACAATTTGCCCGCAGGGCAGCGACAGACCGGGGAGGCCCAGTTAGGCGGCCGATGTTGCTACCCCAGGGCTCCCTTCATCAGCGGAGTTTGCGCCTTATCATCTGCGCAGTTTTGCCCTCATCTGTGACCATGTACAATAAATGGATGAGCAGAGAACGGCAAAGGCGTATTGGGACCCTCCACGGGCCCCAAGACCGTCGCCTCAGCACATGGCATCGACATGTAGAATACAAATTGTTTGCTAGGAGAGATGCAAATGTTGAGCTGTCGCGCACGCGGTCCACAGAGGAGCTAGCAAGGAGCACAATGACCGCGGGGCAGCGACAGACAGGCGAGGCCCAGTCAGGCGGCCGATGCTGCCACCCCGGGGCTCTCCTTGCATCTGCATCAGCGTAGTTTTGCGCCTCATCATGTGCACAGGTTTGCCCTCAGCGGTGACCATGACCACAGTATGACCCGAATCTGTTCGCAAGAGCTTCTTGTGCCAGGTTGAGTTGCATGAGGCGTCCGCCTGCGGTCGGCTCAGCAGTGTACATTTATTTTTACTCGGGCGTTACTCGCTCTCCCTTACAACTCCTCCTTGTTAGATCAGCGATAGATTCGCCACTATAGCTGATTTATTTGGCAGCGCAGATTCTTCGGCGCGCCACTCAGTAATTATGTCATTCGCGCATCCACCAGTCAGGTTGCTGGGTCTGTCTTCAGAGGAACTCCGCCTGCGGACAGCTCGGCTTTTCAGGTTGTGGGGCCGATCGGTCCTTCTCCTGCCTGCACGTCCCGCCGATCCATGTCTAGAAAATTGGCTGGACACACATTTTCTATCGCGGCAGTCGCGCCTCTTTCGTGCATGGGGCCGACCCGCTGCGAGCGACTGGGCTCGAGCCCTATAGTGCACTTGTTGCTCTCCGACGAAGGCGAGGCTGGGAGGGCGTGTATAACATGCCAGGGCCAGCTTGGCCCGGGCTTGGCACGGTGTATAGATGCCTTCTGCGTATGCTCGACCATCAGGGCCGAAGCACTCGCTACCGATCGGGGACCATGCGGCACGACGATCTCCCCAGAGACCGGAAGCTACAACCAACAACAACAAAGTAGCAGCCAGGAGCGCCGTGGAAGGGGGGGCCGGTCCCTTTCCAGAGCGTGTACGATGCTCGCACAGAGAATTGCAAAGGACCCGAGGGCCCTCCACTCGGTGCCTCGCGGCATGGTGGCGGATTTGCAGTTCCATACCCGCACAGACACACATACATACATATATATAGAGAGAGAGAGAGAGAGATCGATGTATAACATGTATGTATATAAGCATATGTATACGTTATATACAGACGCATACATATACGTATACGTGTACATATACATATACACAACAACAACAACAATGCCACAACGCTGCGTCAATACATAGCCTCTGTCTCTGGGCGCTTTCATGCTTGAACGCATGTCTGAAAACGAACAACTACACAGCGAAAGGAGACCGTAAACAGCAGCACAGCACGGCACGCGGGCGGCAACGCTTGTGCTTTCTGGAGACCGAGCACGGCAGGGTACGCGGGCGGCACGGCATGCGGGCGCACGGCTCGCGGGTGGTACGGCACGGCACGCGGGCGGCACGCTTCTTGTTTCGCACATGCGGACAACTCGCTACAACCGTGCCGCCGTTGATATTTAGCTTGTCCGCCTGCGCAGTTACTCTCTCTGCCTAGCCGCCGACGCAAAAGTTGTTCTCTGGATGCGGGCCCCAAGCATATACACCACCACCACCACCACCACGTCGATTCCTCCTGCCTCCACCCTCCTGCTCCTCCCTCCTCTCCTGGGAGAGGGAGGGGATGAGGGAGGTGTCGGTGGTGGTGTAGACCCTCGGCCCCCGCACTGGAACGCAGGAGCCGGCACGGCACGCGGGCGGCACGGCACGGCCCGGCACGGCGGGTGGCCCTTTGCGTGACATGCTCGCACGGCACGGCACACGGCACGCGCAGGGCACGGCCTGGCACGCGGGCGGTGCTATTTCTCCGCATGCCAGAACGCGCGCACGGCACGCGCACGGCACGGCACGCGGGCGGCACATGCTCAGGAGCGAAAGAAGGACGTACATGTACATGAATCCACGCTTGTTTCGAGAGCACGCGTTGCACAAGTGTTCGCATCACGCGGCCGGTCTCGCGAATCGAGGGGCCGTGTTCATGGACATGGCTGGGCGCGTACGTCCTTTGTGGGCTCCCTACATGTGTCGCAGATGACCTTCAGGTCTGACGTTGGAGGAAATTGCAACAGGATGGAACAAAAAGCGACCAGGGCCCCAGACCCAAGTCGGGTGTGTCCCCCATACAGGGGGGTTTTCGTCGAAAAATAAAGCGTAGCCCAAAAGTGGTCAAAATAGTCTGGGGACTATTTTTTGTAATTTGTTCTACCTTTTTGGGGGTACTTGTGGGGTATTTTTTGTTTTTCGTCGAAAATCCCCCTGTAGGGGACACGCCCGACATAACCCCAGACCCAGTCTTCCTGCGCCATTCTTCGAGCCGGACGTCGATCTGTGAGGGCCCCAGGGACCGAGACCGGGCGAAGACGCCCGCTGTGAAGAATGTGCATCGCCGGGGTCTGAGGGCAGAACGGCTGTCATAGTGCAAGCGATAGGTCGGGCATGTTCCTGCACAGGAGGAACACTCGAGAATGGTAAGAAATAGTCTGGTGACGATTGTCCGTGCTCTTTTGACTAGTTTGGGCCATTGTTCAACTGCTGGTTGCTTTCCGTCCAAGCTCCGCCTGTGGGCTGACATGCCCGACCTAGTGCCAGCGGGGCTGCAGATCGCAGTCCCTCTTTGGGGGAAGCCTTCCGAAGCCTCCCATCGACTGTTTTGTCTTGTCTGCTCTGCGGCGCCGGCAGGCCGCACAAGGGCCAGCCCGCGGGGGCGCGAGCGAAGGCGCGGGGGCCAGGGATCTCTACCCCTTCCCGGCGGCCCACTTTCCATCGAGCACAGAAGAACCCTTAATCCTAGTAACACAGTGGAGACGTGGTCGCACTGAGGTCCCCGTCTTTGGGGGATCATAAAGATGGGCGGTGTGGTTCGATACATCTGCAGAAAGGGCCCCCCCTATCCCTGATGTGGTTCGCCCTCCTAACTTAGGTCGCCTCCCAAAAGGTCAGGGGTCTTGTTTTGGTTACTCATTGCATTCACCCCACTGCAGTGACGGGGGTGGCAACTCCCTTGCAATCTAGGCCTCCTAGATTCGAAGAAGAAAAAGCGCCATAAACATAAACTGTTGGCGCTCCGCGCGGATTTCTCGGATCTGCGCTGGGGCCCCCTGGCGGCGCCTCTGGCGCCGCCCCTGGCGCGCTCCGCGCGCCAGGGAGGGGGGCATATCCAAGAAATCCGCGCGGATCGCCAAAAGTTTATGTTCATGGCGTTTTCTCTTATTCGAATTTAGGCTTCCTAGATGGGGTCAGAGTAGATGAGGTCGGAGGATCGCACCGCATCGCCGATGCATCGCAGATGCGGCTAGATGTGCAGCCCGATAGCCCGATTTGTTTTACGTCGACGTCGCCGATGTATCGGCGATACGGCGCAATCTTGCGACCCCACTTACTCCGACCCCATCTAGGAGGCCTCTATGCAAGGTACTTGCAAGTGGGTTGCAGGTCCGCCTAGCTGATCCAAGTTGGGTCTGCGACTTTTTCAGTCTGTGGGTTGCAGCCACCTTGCAACTGTTACAACTGTTGCAAGTCGATCTGGCCACTACAGCCGGGTTCCCTTCTGAGCCCGTCCGGCGTCTAGGCCCATGTGGCCGCCGAGCGGACTCACGATCGAGCCCCGTCGGCGGCCGAGCAGGCTCAATTGCCTCGACCGTGTCGGAGATGAGCCCGTTCGGACCCACTCGGCGGCCGAACGGGGTCAGAAGGGAACCGTGTGGCAGGCTGAACCGCTCTTGACGCTCCTGGGGCCTGGCAATGGGCCCACATAGGCCGAACATAGAAACAACAAAACAAAACAAAAATCTTGAATTTGCGCTTGATCTTCTCAAGACAGGGTCCCCAGAAGTTTCGATCCTCTCCCCAGGGCCGGTTTGCCATCCCGAGTCGTTCTGTGACGGCCCCGGGGGCCCCCCGAGGGTCTCCAGACGCCGAAAATTGCCAGCATGTTGATGTCGTGATTTGTCCACGACGCGAGCATGTCAGGGCCTGGCGGTCAAAAAATCAAACCCGGGACCTGATCCAGGGAGCGTCTTAGCTACAAAGTCAGGGCGGACCCAGCCGTGGCGATGCGGAGCCCCCTTGGAGGCCCAAAAACGACGGAAGCAGCCGAAGTTCGACCCTCAAGCCTCCGTGCTGAATTTTTCAATGCGCTGGAGAGCTGGGCCTCAACTCTCGCTTCCGCAGGTGCCTCGGGAGCGGCGGCAGCCGACCCGGCCGGCCGCGGCGCGCATGCCGGCGACGCTCGGCGCTCAGCCGAGCCCGTGAGGGGGGCGGCCATGCAGGACGTCGGGCCTGCGGCCTGGCCCGAGCGGTGTCAGCGTCATCTAACCTATCCCTATATTTCCCTGCGAAGCCCAAAGGAACAGGGCATCTCTCCCCACCCAGGTGGGCATCGGTGCGATCGGCATGGGTGCGGAAAGAACGGGTACGAAGACCGACAGCAGTCCCTGCTCATTTTGAACAGGACTCGCTGCCGGCGTCGTCGCGGACGGCGTCCACTTTAGACAAAATATTGCCTGCCCAATCGCCGCCGCTGTCGATGCTAGACAACTCGGCCACGCGCAGAGAGGGGCAGGGGAGGAGGAAGGCTTCTTAGAAGCACCCCTGGTTCTTAGCAGGCGCGGGCCTCCTCTGTAGGTGCAGGGCCAGCGCCGCGCCTTCTAAGAAGCAGCTTCCTAAGAAGCCGTGCCCCCTTCCCCCGACCCCCTACCCCCGCCCCCCGCGCGCGCCGCCAAACAACATTTGTTGTTGGGCATCGTGCCCGTGCAGTGGAAACCCATGCCAAGAAACGCCCTGCTTTCCTCCAGGGTGCTCTGGGTTTCTTGGGTTTCGATGGTTTTGCTATGGAACGCGTGACTTTCCCACGCCGAAAAACCATAGACGCCCTGGGGTCTCAGGGTTGGGTTTCTCGTGGAAGGCTTCTTGTGGTCGAGCTCCCACTGTGTCTGTCCGCACCCGCCTCGGGCGTCCAGAGGAAGGTCGGCCAGAGGGACAGATGCGGTCCCAGACGGAGGAGGAGGAGGAGGAGGAGGAGGAGGAGGAGGAGGAGGAGGAGGAGGAGGAGGGAGGAGGGGGAGGAGGAGAGAGGGAGGAGGGAGGAGGGAGGAGGGAGGGAGGAGGAGGAGGAGGAGGAGGAGGAGGGGAGGAGGAGGAGGAGGAGGAGGAGGAGGAGGGGAGGAGGAGGGAGGAGAGGAGGGAGGAGGAGGAGGAGGGAGGAGGGGAGGAGGAGGAGGTGGAGGAGGAGGAGGAGGGAGGAGGAGGAGGGAGGAGGGGAGGAGGGAGGAAGGGAGGAGTGAGGAGGGAGGAGGAGGAGGAGGGAGGAGGAGGAGGAGGAGGGAGGAGGGAGGAGGGAGGGAGGGAGGGAGGAGGGAGGAGGGAGGAGGGAGGAGGGAGGAGGGAGGAGGAGGAGGAGGAGGGAGGAGGGAGGAGGGAGGGAGGGAGGAGGAGGGAGGAGGGAGGCCTGGCGTGCCCGGGCGTGGCCTGGCGCCTCGAGGCTCGGAGGCCCCCCAGCGCCGGGGCAACAGGCTCGGGGTCGCGCGGCTCGAGCTTCGTGCTCTGGGGGTTTTCGATCGTCCTGGGGCGTGGCCCTGCGGCGCACGGACGGGGAGCGAGTTCACCGACTCCCACTTGCGAGGTAAACAGTGCGCCGGCAGCAGTAGCAGCAGCGTTGCTCGCTTTCGCAGTCATGTTCCGAGCAGACAGCTGCACTCGTGGCATTCCAAGCTTCGGTGCTTCCCCCTTATCACCCTCTGTTTACCCGTGCTTGACTTTGTGGCTCCAACGTCCCAGAGCCCAGCGCTCGTGCCCGTACAGTATAAGATCACTAAGTCTGGGTGGACTGGGAGAGAAAACCAAAAAACAGTCGTGTTCCGAGCGGACAGCCGTGCTCGTGCGTGGTCGCTGCAGTTCGCCCCACGTCCCCCCTCGGCCACGTGGTGTCTGGATGCCGTGCCAGGTCTGCGGGCAAGGCTCGCAGGAGCCTCCCCTGGCCGCCACTGGCGGTACAGATATCGTTGAGAAGGTCCGTTTCTGGAGGGAGAAGACAGCGCACGGCGTGCGATGCAATCAGTCGCATCGGAAAGCTCAAGACATGGAGGTAATGAGCGTCTTCAACATCCCATTCTGTGCAGTTCCGAGAAGGGTCCAGGACGGCGCGACGTGCGCGCAATGACGAGGTCGGTTTCTGCGTTCGGGATGAAGGGCGCCGAGCAGCGGAAGAGTGCTTGTAAGAAGTGCAAGACCAAAAAACGAGGCTGCGCGCAACACGCGACCAGGCCAAGCAGACCCAGGAGTTCTGCCGAGGACCACGTTGGGTTCACGCGGGGCTCTGGTGCTCGGGGCGCTCCTCAGATCCAGGCGTGGGTTCCTATAGTCGCGGCCGAGGCTCGCCGTGGCCAAGAGCGCCCCTTCGCTTCCCATCCAGCGCTCGCGTGGCAGCACGCCGATGGCATCCCAGAGGCGCGACGCCGCTTTACAGCACAGGGCCCCCAGACGCCCCCGCCCGTTCCTCAGGGCCGGCCTCTCATCCCGAGTCGTGTTTTCACAGTCAAAGTCCGCCGTGTTGCTTGTGCCACGGCGCGGGCATTTCTGCGACGCCCCCCTCGCCGGAAGGACGACGTCCGGCCCTCGGAGATCCTTCCTGGGCGGCTCTTCCTGGGAAGCGCCAAGCTCAGGGGCAACGAGGACATGCCCAGGGAGGTTATGATGCTCCAACCTACTTTATCCTTGATCACCAGAAAGAATTTCGAGCGCCAGAAACAGTTCCGATATTCAAAAGTTTTCACGTGTCGGGCCCTGGGAGACACTCGCCCGACACTGTTTCGACACTCTTTTGACACTTTTCCAGGTGTTCGGTGTCATTTCTGGGATGCGGTCCTTAAGTAGGATGGGAACAACATAATAGGGGAGGATGCATCGACCCCCAATCGCCCATTGATCGCCGATAGTGGCCCGGTAGCCCCAAAAGCTGCCCAGGAACGTGCGGATGTATTGTTGGGGGCCTATCGCCGATCTATCGGCGATGCATCGCCGATTCCAGGTCGGTGTGTCCCCCCCTATGCCTATCGCCCCTCTCGTTGCCCCTCACAAGCACGCGAGGGCGGCGGGCCTGGGGGAGAACGCCCAGGGCATCACCCACCTGCTCAACGTGTGCGACGCGGTGGTGGTGCTGCCCGGCAAGACAGCCTCTGGCGTCGTCGCCGAGTGGGTCCCGATTAAGGATCGGGCGCCCGAAAAGGGGGGTTGAGGAGGAGGAGGAGGAGGAGAAGGAGGAGAAGGCAAGATGCTGAAATAAGGACCCCTTGCGACTCAGGAGGGGCTCCTCTGTTCGGGCCGTTCCTCCTATTGATGTCAGGGAACCTACTCGTAACCACTAGGCCTCCCAGATGGGGTCGGAGTAGATGGGGTCGGAGGATCGCGCCGCATCGCCGATGCATCGCCGATGCGGCTCGATGGGGACCCCGATTTGCTTCACGTCGACGTCGCCGATGCATCGCCAACGTCGACGATGCATCGTCGGTGCATCGCCGATGCATCGCCGATCCTCCGACCCCATCTACTTTGGCCCCATCTAGGAGACCTCTAGTTAAGTCGGGCATGCCTCTCCACTGGAGAAATCTTCTAGAACTGTCAAAAAAGTCTGGGGGCGATGTGTTGATTGCTGTTGACAATGTTTGAATGTGTTTTAACTATTCTCTTTGTTCTTCCAAAATCCACCTGTAGGAGGACATGCCCGACCTAAGGTTAGAGTTAACACGCTGAAACAAGGACCACTAACGACTCGGGAGGGGCTCTTCTGCTCGGGCCGCTCTTCATACTAGCGATGTGAGGGAACCTATTATTGACCCAGGCTCGCCCTGGACTGAACAGCTCCTTTGCTCCTCATTCATCGTTCCTTTCGGTAGCACATGGCTTGAGCGTAGGCTTGATTCGCCCGAGCCTCGATTCGCCGGGCTCGATTCGCCAGGCTCGATTCGCCGAGTCTCGATTCGCCCCGCTCGATTCGCCCCGCTCGATTCGCCGAGTCTCGAATCGCCCGAGGCTCGATTCGCCCGGCTCGCTTCGCCGAAGTTCGATTCGCCCGAATCTCGATTCGATGCGCCCGAGTCTTGTGCCGGCCGGCTTGATCCGCCCGAGTCTCGATTCGCCACAGCTCGATTCGCCCCGGCTCGATGCGCCCGAGGCTCGCTTCGCCCGAGGCCCAGCTCCACCCGCCCCACCCGAGGTCTGGCCCGCCCGACCCGACCCGCTGGTTCGGGCTCGCGCGCTCTGACTGATGCGTCCTTTTTTGCCTGTCCCCCTACAGGGGGATTTTCGTCGAAAAATAAAAGATACCCCAAAAATAGTCCAAAAATAGTCTGGGGACTATTTTTTTCGTTTTTTTTATGTTTGGGGTATTCATTTTTCGTCCAAAATCCCCCTGTAGGGGGACACGCCCGACACAACCGTTATGGGGTCGCGAGCCCAGCCCGGCGAAACGAGACTCCGGCGAAGCGAGCCTCGGGCGAAGCGAGCCTTGGGGTGCTGCTAGAAGCGCCCCAGGGCCCAAGGCGCCCCCAGGCAACCCCCGAAGCCTCGGCGAAACGAGCCCTGGCGGAACGAGCCCCGGCGATTTGAGACGTCGGGCGAATCGAGAGTCTGGCGAAACGAGCCTCCGGCGAAGCGAGCCAGGGCGCGGCCGAGACGGGCGAGCCCAGCCTCGGCGAAGCGAGCTTCGGCGAGCACCGAGCTGGGCGAAGCGAGCCGGGCGAAGCGAGCCCCCGCGAGCCGAGCCCAATGCGAGCCGAGCCCCGGACCAAGCCCTGGCGAGTCGAGACTGCGGCGAGCCGAGTCCGTGCCGATGCTCCCAGACCCCCTCGAGTAATGAAAAAATCATGACGAAAGGTTTTTCGCTATTTTCGGCCTCCAGGGGCCCTTACCGGCCCTCAGGACCATCAAGAAACGACTCGGGATGAAAAGCCGGTCCCCGGGGAAGGGGTCCGGACCTCTGGGGGTTGCGTCATGAAAAAATCATGACGTCGGGGGTCTGGGCTTGCTGCACGCGACATGTTTCGGCCCCACCGCCAAGGTGGTGCTCCTTGATGCACGGCCGCTCCTGGCGTCCCGAGGCGCCGGAAGACCAGCAGCGTGCGGCCGCCTCGCCATGCTCTGTTCCCTCCCCACCGCGGCACCACGAGCTCACGAGCATCAAACGGCTCACGACGGACCCCGGGCCGCTGAGAGCACCGAGCTGCGGTCGCCGCGTGAATTGGCAGGCGGGAAGTCGTGCTCTCCCTTGTCGAGGCTGCAGTCAAGACGCTGCAATAAAGACCGGCTTGGTCTCTAGAGGCCTCCTAGATGGGGTCGGAGTAGACGGGGTCGGAGGATCGCGCCGCCTCGCCGATGCATCGCCGACGCATCGTCGATGCATCGCCGACGTCGGCGACACCTCGGCGACGCCCGCGTGGAGAAAAGCGGGCTTCGCATCGAGCCGCACCGGCGATGCGTCGGCGATGCGGCGCGATGCTCCGACCCCCGTCCCCAGACCCCCGACGTCATGACTTTTTAATGACGCGACCCCCAGAGGTCGGGACCCACTCCCCGGGACCGGCTTTTCATCCCGAGCCGTTTTTTGACGGTCCTGAGGGCCGGTAAGGGCCCTTCGGAGGCCGAAAATAGCGAAAAACCTTCCGTCGTGATTTTTTCACGACTCGAGGGGGTCTGGGTCTGCTCGGACCCCAGCCAGGAGGCCTGGAGCCCCAGCAGGGGCCCGGGCTTCCGGCCGCTCTCCTCGGGGTCTCTGCCGGGGGGCCTGCCCGCGGCCTCTGGGCCCGCCGTGGCCAGGAGAGCTATCTCTATCCTTCCTTGCCATGCCTTCCTCGTGGTGCTCAGGAGGGGAGACGACACACACAGACACAGTTCGTCGTGGACTCCCAGGAAAACATTGGAAAACAGGGGAAGTGGGTGGGAAGACGAAAACCCAGGAACAAGAAGCAATATATCACTATAGCGTAAAAACAACCACAAAAAACACCCCCCCCCAAAAAAAAGGGGAGTCCTGGGATTCGTGTGTATCTGTTAGTGTGTCCCAGGGCCCCTGGAGGTACGCAGCACGATGATTACACGGCCTCCACGCCCATGCGCTGGTGGGCACGGGCGGGCTCCCCAGCGGAGCCCGCACGGCTCCGGCGTTCGCCCGTTCGATCGCCCTCTGCCAGGCACCCTCCTCGATGCGCGCGGCCGCTCCCAGCGCCCCAGCGGGTTGCCCGAAGACCAGCAGCATGTGGCCGACTCGCTGCCCTCTCCAGCGCCCCTTCTGAGGGGAGGAGGGAGGGAGGAGGATCGGATCGAGGATATGAAGGATATCGAGGACATCGAGGATATCGAGGAGACCGAGGAGACCGAGGGTATCGAGGATATCAAGGCTCGAGGTGGTGAGGCTTCGGGCTGCGCACAGGCAGCCCTTTCAGGTGGGCCCAGCTGGCATCAGCAGGCCCCCCTTGTGGGCCCGCGGCGGTCTCAGCGCCCCGATCCCGGAGCGCGGAGCGCCACCGCGGCGCAGCCGGAGGCGGCGCCCGGGTGTGGAGCCCGCCACGGGCTGCTCGGGGGGGCCTCTCGAGGCCAGCTGGGCCTGCCTGGGGGGGCCTCTCGAGGCCAGCTGGGCCTGCCTGGGGGGGCCTCTCGAGGCCAGCCGGGCCTGCCTGGGGGGGCGCAGCCCGACGCCTCACCAGCTCGAGGCTCGAGGAGCGACCACGCCCCCCCGCGAGAGGACGACGGCTCCGACGACCTCTTCGGCCAGGCCCAGACCGAGCAGGAGCTCGAGGCGGCCCTCGCGGCAGACCCGGCCGCGCCCGTGCGCGGGGCGTGGTGGCGGTGCCGGGCCTTCTTGGAGGAGGCGCTGGGCGCGAGCGGCGGCGACAGCCGCGTGCTGGTCCACTGCGCGCTCTCGGTGGTTCAAAGCTGGGGTCCTGAGGGAGGGTCGCTCAGGCCACGCGCAGAGGGGGGTCAGCGTCGTCTAAAACCTATCCCTGTCCCTCCCTGCGAAGCCCGAAGGAACAGGGCATCTATTCCCACCCAGGTGGGTATCCGTACGATCGACATGGGTGCGGAAAGAATGGGTACGAAGACCGGCAGCAGTCCCTGTTCATTTTGGACAGGACTCGCTGCCGGCGTCGTCGCGGACGGCGTCCACTTTAGACAAAAGAGTGCCTGCCCAACTGCCGCCGTTGTCGATGTTGGAAAACTCGGCCACGCGCAGAAGGAGGGGGGTAGAGGGAGGGGGGAAGGCTTCGTAGAAGCACCCCAGGGCGCGGTCCTTGTCTGCAGATGTACGGCCCGCGCCTTCTGAGAGGCAGCCTCCTTCCAAGAAGCCTGCCCCCCGCCCCCATGCCCCCGCTGTGCGCGCCGCCGAGCCACGAGCGGCGAAGGCATCCATACCCAAGCCCTCGCGGTCTGAATTGCGGGGCGCGATCCCGCGGACGCGCGGGCGCACGGGTGACCTCCGCGCGGGGGGCATCCGCGAGAAAGCGCTCCGCATCCGCGGGGTCGCGGCCCAGGGGCAACGGCCCGCGAGGCCGTGGGCACGGAGATGTGCCTCGCCCACGACACGGGGAGCGCTGAGCACGCGGAGCCTCAAGCTCAGAGGAGAAGGAGGTGTCGGCACCGCTGCCCTTCCCCCGTGTTGGTCAGAACTCGCCCTCTGGGGAGCAGCGGTAGCGGTATTTCTTGGTTCCCCCAGGATCCTTGCATCCCCTCGCATCCCCAGGGCCCCCATCCTTTGGACCGCCGGCGCTCGGCGTCAACCGCTCGGCCACGATCGTCGTGGCGTGGCTCATGGAGTCCAGGCGGTGGTCGGTGGCGGAGGCGATGGACTTCGTCCAGGATTAAGTCGGGCCTGCCCCTCTACAGGGGGGATATTCAAAAATAGTCAGAAGATCGTCAGGGGACCCATTTTTTGGCTATGTTTGAGCACCCTGGGGGCATGTTGGGTTTTTTTATTTTTCGCCGAAAATCCCCCTGTATGGGGGACAGGCCCGACTTAAGTGCAGGAGCGGCCCAAGAGGCGCCCAAGACCGCCCCAAGACGGCCCAAGAAGCTTCCAAGAGGGCCCCAGGACAGCCCAAGAGGGCCCCAAGACGGCCCAAGAGGCGCCAAGATGGCCCAAGAGGGCCCCAAGACGGGCCCAAGAGGGGGCCCAGAGGGGGACCACGAACCGCAAGCTCGAGCCTTCCGCCCCAAGAGGCCGCCAGGAGGCCCCAAGGAGGCCCATCAAGAGGCCCCAGGAGACCCCAGACGTCAAAGGGCGCCCCCAAGACGCTTCGCGTCACCAATTTCTTCTCGCAACGATTCCTGGGTCTGTGACTCGACAGAACCTAAGCGCGCGCGAAGCGCGCGCGTGGTTCTAGTATTTATATATACATATATTATACACATGTACATTTATGTATGTATAAAGATACACACGGGGAGTTCGCTCTTGAACCCCCTGCGGCACCCACGGCATTCGATCGATTGTTCCATACGTTGCAAAGGATTATCTCACAGTGCTGTGTTTTGATAACATGTGCGTGCGCAGAGTACCAGCTTCGAAATTGTGAAATATAGGTCCCCTTTTGTATAATGGGAACTACCAATGTCTGGCGCGGGCTCATTGACGGATTGGGGCCGACAACAAGACTGGGAAAGTAATTCGCCGCCCGGGGCCGTCAATCTGTTGGGTATCTCGTGGGTCCTTGAGGAACCTGGGAATCCCTACGGATTCCTATGGATTCGTAGGATTCCGAAGGATTCACACAGATTCTTAAGCATTCTTCAAAGTCCATTCAGGTCCCGATGGATTCGCCGGATTCCTCAGAATAGGGTTCCTGGAGTCCTAAGGATTCCCGTCGGATTCCGAAGGGTTTTGTGGATCCCTTCAGGATCCGTAGGGACTCCCAGGGAGTAGTAAGAGTCCTCAAGCTTCCGACTGGTCCCCGAGAATTTTCGGGATCCTGTGAGGAGTCGTCAGGATGTGTCCGGATTCGCAGGATTCTTCAGGCTGGATTCCTAGGGAGCCATTGGGATCCTAGGGTCTCCCAGGGTTCTAGTGGGTCTCAAGGACAGTTGGAATCAACGCCATGTGGGTTTGCACGACCATCCGTGTATGAATATGCTCGGAATCCATCTCGTGTGCAGGGTCGCCCACGGCAGTTTATCCGTTGGGAGCAACAACCATCCAACAAGATCCCGCGTTGCGAACAATAGTGCGTACATTAGCACGCGCGCAGCAGCAACTAAACAAGCTCACCACAATTGAGGCAGGCTCTTACTGCGCACGGTTACCTGAGCGATCCGTTTGTGGAGACGGCGACGATCAAGACAACGACAACGACAAAGGCGACGTGCATACTCGAGTGGAGATGTATCGAATTATGTGCTAATCCTGGTGCAAACAAGCTCACAATTCCTCTGTCGCGCAGGGTCGCCCAGCAAGCATAATCCGATGGAAGAAAGAGCCACCTGTCAATACCTAGTACGGAAAACAATTCTGCGCAAATAGTTGCACGCGCGGCAACCACCGAACAAGTTCAGCACAAGTATGGCAAGATCTCATTTCGCACGCCACTTGCGCGAACCCACTATGAAGACGGCGGCGGCGACGATCGCGAAGTCGACGACCAAGACGATGCCGATTCGATTGGAGATGAAGCGAAGCATAATTCAAGCCTTTTTTACACGGGGGAGCGAACATCCTCTCCCGCGCAGGATCGCCCAGGAAGCATTATCCGTCGGGGAGAAGAACCACCCAACAACAAATGGCAGGCGAGCAATAGTGAGCAAACAACCGTTGGCGCCAGCAGACGCGTACAGACGAAAGGAAGATGCAGTACATGTTAGCAGGGAGCGTAAGCATGGAGTAGATGCTGTAGATGTTAGCGGGACACGTGTGCATTTAGACATACATCTATATATATATATATATATGTATATATATATATATATATGCTCAGCCCCCCCCCCAGCACACCCCCCCAGGGCCCGTCATCCTCATCATCATCCCCATCGCATTTCTCCTCATCCGCATCTGCATGATTATGAGGATCAGGATGCGGAGGAGGAGGATGATGCTGATGATGAGGATGATGATGATGATGAGGAGTAGGGGGAGGAGGAGGAGGGCGGGGATGATGATAAGGCGGAGGGGGCGGATAATGCGGAGGATGCGGATGATGATGAGGATGAGGATGATGATGATGAGGAGGGGGAGGAGGAGGGGGATGATGATGATGATGATGATGACGATGACGATGACGATGACGATGACGATGATGATGCTGCTGATGATGATGATGGTGGTGGTGATGCTGATGATGATGATGATGATGCGGAGAATGGCAATAATAATGCTGACGATGATGATGATGATGATGAGCATCATGAGACCATCAGCGCCTGCGAAGCCGCGCGTGATGATTGGCCTCGGTGCCGTAGCTGAGACCAGCTGGGGATGGCGCGTAGTAGGCTTTCCTGTTAAGTCTGGCTTAAAGTGACTCCACGCTAGCGGGCGATTAACATGCCCGGCCTTGTTTTGATTCGAGCCAGATCAGCCTTCACAGCCGCGTATGAAAATCAGTTAATGGGCAATGCGGCTACCGCCCTCGTCGTCGTCCTCGCCATCGCCCTCGTCGTCGTCGCAACAGAAATCTTCGTCGATCGCCATCGTGGCCGACTGCCGCCACGATGGTTGGCTGATCACTTTGACTTCACGCGCTTCCTTCCCTAGATGAGGAGGGGCACTTGCAAGGGGGGCCAGCGCGGCGACATGACAATGATAATAACAAGGGGGCGGGGGCCGAGGGTGATGGGGACGATCAGCAGATGTATAAAGAGGTGGTGTGGGAGGGGGAGGAGGAGGAGGAGGAGGAGGAGAAGGAGGAGGAGGAGGAGAGCAGGAGGAGGATGCGGGAGGAGGAGAGGGGGGAGGAGGAGGAGGGAGGAAGGAGTTTGAGGAGGAGGAGCAGGAGAGAGCGGAGGATGGGGGGAGGAGGAGGAGGATAAGGAAGAGGAAACGGGGGGGGAGGGTGCAGGAGGAGGGGGCCGAGGAGGAGCATGCGCAGCCAAACCATGCTATTCACATGTTGTGTTTTGGTTTGTTTGGTCAGGGAATCCACGAAACCTCGCCATTCACATGTGTGTTTGGTTTTTTCTGGTTTTCAGAAGCCCCACAAGCTTGACCAGAGGGGGGGCGCGGGGGGGGGTGGAGCTTCTGAAAACGAAAACAACAAAAAAAACCTGTGAATAGCATGGTTGCGTGGCTTCCCTGACCAAAAAAAAAACAAAAAAATGTGAATATCATGGTTTGGTGGCCACGCCCCATTCCGCAAGCACTTTCTACCCATACCGTGAATTAGGAGGTGGTGAAGGCGTGGAGGGAAGGACGAGGAGAGGGGAGGACGAGTGGGAGGCGAGGGGCGAGGAGGGAAGCACGATGAGGATAGAGGGCGAGGAGGAGAGCGATGTGAGTAGGACGAAGGCAGGGGGTGTGACACGGAGAGGCGAGGACGAGGGGGACGGCGAGGAGGGGAAACGAGGAGGAGGGCGAGGGACGAGGCGGGAGGATGATCAGAGGGGAGGAAGACGGGAGAGAGAGGACGGAGTTGTATTGCCGCCGATCAGCTTTTAGAGGGGAGGAGGACATCATTATAAAGGCACCTTGCGGTTATTGAAGTATCGAGCAACAGTATTGGTTTGGCTGGGATGATACGAACTCACGTGTAGAATTAACACTGGGGCAGAATAGTGCATAAATCGCACATCCCCACGGGGCGGATACCCCTATGGGGGGATCCCAATTCTCTTCAGGAGCGGTAATATATGTGGTGCGTCCTATGTGGTGCAAAGCCAAGAAGCAAAGCAATGCGAAGCAATGCAAAGCTGGCGGCGACGAGGTGGCGACGGCGGCCACATGGCGGCCAGAGCGGCCCGCAGGCACAGACGACGGGCGGCGACGAGGCGGCGACGGGGCGGCGACGGCGACCACGTATCCGCCAGACCGGCCGTAAGGCCCAGACGACGGGCGGCGACGAGGCGGCGACGGGGCGGCGACGGTGACTGCGTAGCCGCCACAACGGCTACCAGGCCGAGTTCCCTAGAAAGCAAAGAAGAACCCCTAAGTGCATGCATCCGTTGGGGAATACAGATGCGTTATATTAAAAAGTATGTATAACATGTGTTTCCGATATGTGTCTGCATATATATATAGCCCGTACATACATACATATACATTTACATATACATACACCTATACATATATGTATACATATACATGTATATGCATATGTACATGCACATAGACATTTACATATACATATACATATACATACATTTATATATACATATACAAAAACATACACATACATACATACATGCAGACTGGCATCAATACAGACATACATACAGACATGCATGCATAAATACATGCATGCATGCATGCATGCATGCATACATACATACATACATACATAGTATATATATACTATTGCGTTGCCACTATGTCACTATGTTCCGCCACAGCGCTCGGGCGGCCGCCTGGGGGGTGGCCTACTCTGGGGCCTCCCCAGAAACTCACGGCTTCTGAGAGACCCTTGCTTCTCGGGCCATTTGGCTTCCAAAACGGCCCAGGAGGCCCACAAGAAGGTGCCACGGCGGGCCCTGAAACCGGATCATGCCATGCCGGAAGTGCAGACCCCAAGCCACCCCCGAGGCCTCTCGAAGAGGCACGCGAGGATTTCCGAGAGCGCCCAAGAGCAGCCGGGAGCGCCGTCCATAGCCGTTTTGGCTCAAGCCATTCTTGCCCAGAGGAGGTCTCCAGGTTGGACCCATGTGCCCTGCCGGCCAGCACCCCACCGGCATGCTCGGCGCGATGCTTCCAGAGTTTGCGGCGGCCTTCTCCGAGCACGGGAAGGGAACTGCGGTGCGCCCCGAGCCAGACGGGTTCAGCTCGGCCCCCACCCGATGTCCGACGCCAGAGCTGCTCGCCTCCGGCGACGGCCACGACGCCAGCGCGCACGCGGAGAGCCCCGGCGCCGCCGCGCTGCCGAGGCACGGGGCCGAGGCGGCGCTCCTCGGAGGCCCGCGCCGCCGGAGGGGGTCTGCGGCGCCAGCGCCCAGGGAGGCTTCCCTCCGGCGCCTCCGGTCCGAGGCGTACTGGGAGCAGATCGCGACCGCCGCGCGGCCGCCCGCGCGCTCGCCCTGGGACCTGGGCGTGAGGCAGCGCCGCACGGGCCACGACGAAGGGGGTCATCCTCGGGCGGGCGGCGGTCACGCGGCGCGGGCGGCAGATGGCGCCGCAGGCGGAGGAGGCCCCGCTGGCAACCCCGGAAGCTGGGCGGGCGCCGTCTCCCGGGAGCTGCGCCGCGCCGCGCGCGGGCCCAGTGCGGTGCCGGCCATCCCGCCGGCCCCGCCGCCAGCGCCGCCATCGGCAGCAAGCGGGGCCGCGCTGAGGTCGCGGGGCCGGTCTTACCACCTGGCTGGCAGCCGCTATCAGCACGAGGGAAACGGATCCTGGAAGAAAGGCGTATCGGGACCAGTCCCTAGGACCGGCGCCTCAGCACCTGGCATCGACATGTAGACTCAAAGCGTGTGCTAGGGCGAGATGCGAATTATGAGCCGTCGCGCACGCAGTCCGCAGAGGAGCTAGCAAGGAGCACAATTTGCCCGCAGGGCAGCGACAGACCGGGGAGGCCCAGTTAGGCGGCCGATGTTGCTACCCCAGGGCTCCCTTCATCAGCGGAGTTTGCGCCTTATCATCTGCGCAGTTTTGCCCTCATCTGTGACCATGTACAATAAATGGATGAGCAGAGAACGGCAAAGGCGTATTGGGACCCTCCACGGGCCCCAAGACCGTCGCCTCAGCACATGGCATCGACATGTAGAATACAAATTGTTTGCTAGGAGAGATGCAAATGTTGAGCTGTCGCGCACGCGGTCCACAGAGGAGCTAGCAAGGAGCACAATGACCGCGGGGCAGCGACAGACAGGCGAGGCCCAGTCAGGCGGCCGATGCTGCCACCCCGGGGCTCTCCTTGCATCTGCATCAGCGTAGTTTTGCGCCTCATCATGTGCACAGGTTTGCCCTCAGCGGTGACCATGACCACAGTATGACCCGAATCTGTTCGCAAGAGCTTCTTGTGCCAGGTTGAGTTGCATGAGGCGTCCGCCTGCGGTCGGCTCAGCAGTGTACATTTATTTTTACTCGGGCGTTACTCGCTCTCCCTTACAACTCCTCCTTGTTAGATCAGCGATAGATTCGCCACTATAGCTGATTTATTTGGCAGCGCAGATTCTTCGGCGCGCCACTCAGTAATTATGTCATTCGCGCATCCACCAGTCAGGTTGCTGGGTCTGTCTTCAGAGGAACTCCGCCTGCGGACAGCTCGGCTTTTCAGGTTGTGGGGCCGATCGGTCCTTCTCCTGCCTGCACGTCCCGCCGATCCATGTCTAGAAAATTGGCTGGACACACATTTTCTATCGCGGCAGTCGCGCCTCTTTCGTGCATGGGGCCGACCCGCTGCGAGCGACTGGGCTCGAGCCCTATAGTGCACTTGTTGCTCTCCGACGAAGGCGAGGCTGGGAGGGCGTGTATAACATGCCAGGGCCAGCTTGGCCCGGGCTTGGCACGGTGTATAGATGCCTTCTGCGTATGCTCGACCATCAGGGCCGAAGCACTCGCTACCGATCGGGGACCATGCGGCACGACGATCTCCCCAGAGACCGGAAGCTACAACCTAAAGAAAAACAGACACCGATTATCCCGGCAAAGCAACCTAACAGCGATGTGTAGAAGCATAGTTGGAAACATTGCCTGTGGTATTCATGTAAGAGTGCTGTTGTAGAATTCTGGTGTTCTCGCAGTCGCATTCGGATTCGCAGTGGCAGTCGCAGTGGCAACATCCGCGGCAGTCGCAGTGGCACTGCCAGTAGTTGCAGTAGCAATAGCTACACTAGCAGCAGCAACAGCAGCAGCAGTAATAGTAACAGTAGTAGTAGTAGCAGTAGAAGTAGTAGTGATGGTAGTAGTGGTAAAAGTGAAGTAGTAGTTGTAGTGTGTGGAGTGAACGAGTAGGAGTGATGGGAGCAGTGGTAGTAGCAGTAGAAACACTGGCGAAGTGGAAGAGCACGACGTGGCCTACAGTTGGCTCCGGGCATTCAAAATGTGGCGCGGGAATTGTGTTTTGGGAAGTCGAAGAGCACGAAGTGGCCTACAGTTGGCTCCGGGCATCCAAAATGTGGCCCGGGAATGGAGTTCTGGGAAATCGAAGAGCACGAAGTGGCCTACAGTTGGCTCCGGGCATCCAAAATGTGGCCCCGGAATGGAGTTCTGGGAAGTCGAAGAGCACGAAGTGGCCTACAGTTGGTTCCGGGCATTCAAAATGTGGCCCGGGAATGGAGTTCTGGGAGGTCGAAGAGCACGAAGTGTGTGACTGTTTGCTTAAAACGAGCCCGGCCCTCGCCTGTCCGGCTCCCGCCCAGACCCCCCTGGGGAGTCATCAGATGCTCTCTTTTGACCCCATTAGAAACCTATCAGTCTTCGCTGTTAGGTAATATCTGAACATTTGGGGGTCAGGGGTTTCCGCATCGCCCCACGTACACGCTGGTCGTTGGAAGCAGGTAGTTCCTTGGCATCGCTCGGACGTGTGCATTTTTTCTCGGCGAGAACCATCGAGTACCATCCTGGACCATCGAGCAACGAAAAGCTCGCACGAAACCGAAACATGCATGGGAAATGGACGTCCGAGCGATGGCGAGGTTCTGGGTCCCCAGATCCCGATCTACTTCAGCCGCATTCCTGCCTCAAGAGTCGAGCGGTTCTCTTTATTTAGGGGGCGGGCAGGGGCCCAGTCTGTTGTCAACGATTTCCTACTTCATGGTTCTACCCACCTCTTCCGACCGACTGGTAGCTCTGCTGGTTTTCTTGCGTCGTCGTCTTTTGTTGTTCCCGATGCTTTTGTAGGTTTCCACCGCTGTCGGTGGTCCGCGGATATCGCTGGAGGCATCCAGAGTGCCCCGGAGGATTCCATTGAGAGGGGGGCTCGGCGTTTGCCTCGAGCCTCGGCAGGAGGCCGCGTCGCAGGCCACAGCGCATGCTGAGGGTCGCACAGTACCCGCGCGAACAGTAATGGCATACGTCAGATCAGTTGCGGCAGTGATTCAGAGAAGGCGCCTTCGGCGAGTCGCCGCCGTCCGCTTCAGGGGCATCGTTACGGAGATGAGCTCGGAGGGGGGATGCATCGACCCCCAATCGGCCATTCGTCGTCGATAGAGGCCCGATAGCCCATTCCGCATGTCGGCGATGTATCGCCGATTCCAGGTCGACTTGCCCCATCCTGAGCTGGCCCACCTATCGGTGCCTCTTGCTACGGCGAACCACGGCCGCCCCATGCCTGTGGGATTCGCCTGTGCGGCCCAACGTTGGGCCAGAGTTGGGCGAAGCATCGTAACATCGATAGTTTGACATCTGGAGGCTCTCCTGGAGTGCCGCGTGGAGCCCTCTTGTGCCATCCGGAGCCGCCTGGAAGAAATGCTGGGCCGTCTGCGGGCCATGTTCGGCCATATTGGCAGGCATCTTGGACTACAGCGGAGGCCACAGCGGAGGATTGCGTGCAGTTCTGGGGTTGGCCCGTGTGGGGCATGTTGGGCCGTCTTGGGGCCTTCTTGGGCCCTCTTGGATCCATTTTGGGGCCCTCCTCGACTGTGCTGGGGCGGGTTTGAGGCTTTTTGGGCCGTGTTGGAGCTTTGGAGGCCACAAAGGGCGAGGACCCATGACAATCCATGAATTGTGCCCTTGGGGGCCTCTTGGGCAGTCTTGAGACGATCTCGGGCCATCGTGGGGCGCTCCGGGGCCGTCTCTGGCCGCTCTGGGGCCGTGTCGGGGCGTTCTTGGACCGTCTTCGGGCTTCCTGGGGACCCTCTTGGGGCCGTCTTGGGCTCCTCAGCCTCGGGGAGTCCTAGTCGACACGGCTTGATTCGCCTCGACACGGCTTGGTTCGCCTCGAAATTATGGTCAGAAAGCATCCGGGGGGGGGAGAGGTCCGGGGAGTACGCCACGGTGTCAGTACCTTTTGGCTTCCGCAGGTGAGCTGATGACGGCTACGATGAGCCGTCGATGTCGACGGTACCATGAGGGTGTTGAGGTGGGTGCTGTTGCGGACGGTGTGATGGTGACGGGGTGTCGGTTTGGACGTCGCTCTGCTGCGTCGACCCTCCCGCGGCCACCGCTGCGGCGGCAGGTGCGTATCCATCGCCGTCGCCTTCTTGACCATGCTGCTGGTGCCGTCGGACACGGCTGACATCTTCCGACGCGCAGAGGCCGAGGCATTTCTTCTCTTCTGGCAGGCCTTCTCCTCCTCCGCCTCCTCCGCCTCCTCCTCCTCCTCCTCCTCCTCCGCCTCCTCCTCCTCCTCCGCCTCCTTCCCCCCCCCCCCTCCTCCCCCTCCGACACCTCCTCACCCCCCTCGCCCTCCGCCTCCTTGCCGTGTCCCTGCCGCCCGCCCTCTTCCAGCTCGCTCCTATCTCGCCGTGCACTCCCGCGGTTTTCTGCGGGGGGCAGCTTTCCTTCCTGCGCGGACGTGGCTGAATGGCGCCAGGGTCGAGGAGATGAGAGGGGGTTGGAGTGGACGAGACGGATGGGAAGGCGGAAGGTGGCGGCTGGAGAGGCATGGGGAGCCCAGACGCCAAGCGCCACGCATCCACTCTCGCCTCGCGAGGCCGGAGACGGCCCATGCTTACCAGCCTGGAACATATCCCTATCCCTATGCTGGGCACCTCCTCATCACGATGCCAATCTTGGGGATTCCCTTGTTTTTGAGGGCGAATCCCTAAGATTGTCATCGCCTTCTGGCGTGTCAATCTTAGGGATAGGGATACGCTCGAGGCTGGTAAAATGCCAGGCCGTGACATCTTGGAGTCGTTGCCCCCTTCGGGTGCACGCGCGCGGGCCGTGGCCCCGAGCCGTCCTCGCCGTGCGCCCCCGTGCACCGCGGCGGCCCAAGGGCAGCCGGGCCATGGGTTCCGCCAAGGGCGTCCTCGACACATCGGCAGGGCACCGACCCCCGTCGGAGGGAGGCTTTATTCGCCGCCGCACGCCAGAGCAGTGGTTTACCAGCCTCGAACGTATCCCTATCCCTAGGATTGACACGCCAGAAGGCGATGACAATCTTGGGGATCCGCCCTCAAAAGATAAGGGGATCCCTAAGATTGGCATCGTGATGAGGAGGTGCCCAGCGTAGGGATACGGATATGTTCCAGGCTGGTAAGTGGTGGCGTCGGCCGAGCAACCGCTGCACACAGCGGTCCCGATCACGAGCACCACACACCGACTTGGACACCGGTTACCTAGCAGCGCCGCTCCGACCCGCGTAAGCTCAGGTGCGAGCTAGTGGGATTGCGCGGGGGAAAGCAACATCAGAGGAGCCATGCTGCGCTCCTCACGCATAAAAAGCCCGTATGCCGTGACCTACAACCAGCAGAGA